AGTACATTGGTGAGCCACCCAAAAGACTGCTCAGCAAAAATACAGTAAAGATGATGACACATGGGGTAACTTTTTAGGTTAGAAGTTTATGAAAAAGTGAACATATCACCTCAAATTTTGCACATATCACCTGGACTATATGTATGAAAAATTACATTTTGAATGGTAGTGTATATAATTTTTAGAATTTTTCATTAACCAAAAATAAATATGAATATTAATAATAATTATTATTATTCAGTAATTTATGTTGTGTTTTTCCAGTTTCTTACACCATGAATGGCACCTATTTAAGACACCATGTCAAGTTGAATGTAGTTCTTTTTTGTAGTTCAATAAAACATTTTTCTTCTTCAATAATTAATTGCACTAAATCAATGTGTTAAATTGACAGGTCTAAAATAAACACTGAATTATAGGGTGAAAATTGGACATTGTGGGTCTGTAAGGTGGATGATTACAAACTAAAAATGTGCAGTACAGTTCAGCACTATTTCATCATAAGAAGTGAAAAAAATGATTTAAAAAAATGTCAACAGGGAAATAAAACCATGATACTATGAGGAGGAGAGACAGATAACGGTGTAATTTTATGTGTTAGCTTCCTGCTGCTCCACCATATCTGAGGAGCTTTCGGAAGGACAGTAATTGGTAAATGGTATGCAGACTTCAGCTTTTCATTTCAAATGTCACATACTAATTAGCTGTGTGTCTTCCCCACTGTCTGCTTAATGGTAATGACTTTGTCTGTACATTTCCCGTCTGTGTGAGGCACAATCTATCAGCCCCATCCCCCATCACACACATTCATAAACACACAAGCAGATGTGCAAGGATAATGCACATTTCGTAAGATAAAGATCCAAAATCTGTTATGCGACTTCTGTATTTCTGTACTGCCTTAGTCACACACCATCATTCACAGGCGTTTCGACACTCCTTTGGCTCACCTTACTGTTGTCTGATGGTGGTCCTTCAAGAGCTCCATTGATGAGAGCAGAAGAATCTTCAGTTATAGTATCTCTGTATCTGGTGATCCTATTGGCCCAGTTCCGACTAACAGATCCATTCCAGGCTGGCTGTGTTTGGAGCAGAAAGAGTAAACTGAAAGACTGAAAATACTAAAAGATGAAAGCATTTTCATAGATCAACATCTTTTTTCCAAGACCAACAAGAATGCATGGTTGGGCAAATGGTTCTATGGCACATCAAAATATTGTACTGTTGGTGCTGGCACAGTTAACTACAGTATACAGCAAAGCTCACCTTGGATTCTGCAGGGGCATCATCAGCGCCTCCTATGTTAGCCATGAGACTCTGTTCCTCAGTGAGGTCTGTGAGGGGTTTGTTGGGGTCTTGTGCACTAGAGGGCATGAGGGTTTCCAGCTCATGGCAGTCACTGCAGTCAGGTGCAGTAGCGGGCACTGGACGGGCACCCTTCCTGTACTGAGGACTCAGAGAACTTGAGTCAAGTCCACCAGACACATCTCTAAAAGTGACATAGAGGGTGATCATTAAGCATCACGTATTGTCTTTTTTTATAATGTTAAATTGAATGCAAGTGCTGTACACTTCTGTAAGGCCTCAGCACATGAATGCATGTCCCTGAGGTATGTCTCTGTGGTATTAATGTAATAAGGGGTAACATCAAAGGCATCCAAAAGTATATTTAAAAAACTCTTCAAAACAGGTAATAAATGTGTATAATATATATATATATATATATATATACATATAATGAGAGCTCACAGAAGTTTTCAAGGTTTCCAACAATTTATATAACCTATTCAAACTGTTCAAATGCCCTTCCTCATACTTTTTAAAGAGACATTATATATTAGGCACCATAGACCCTGACATACAGTACAAAGCACACAGTGTAACAGCTCTCAGTTCTCTTATTAAACCTATAAATATATATATGTGACCCTGGACCACAAAACCAGTCATAAGGGTCTGATTCTCGAAATTGAGATTTATACATCATTTGAAGGCTGAATAAACAAGCTTTCCATTGATGTGTGGTTTGTTAGGATAGGATAATATTTGGCCGAGATACTACGATAATACGAGATACTTTGGCCGAGAAACTATTTGAATATCTGGAATCTGAGGGTGCAAAAAAATCAAAATACCGAGAAAATCGCCTTTAAAGTTGTCCAAATGAAGTTCTTAGCAATGCATATTACTAATCAAAAATTAAGTTTTGATATATTTACGGTAGGAAATTTACAAAATATCTTCATGGAACATGATCTTTACTTAATATCCTAATGATTTTTGGCATAAAAGAAAAATCGATAATTTTGATACAATGTTTTTATGGCTATTGCTACAAATATACCCCAGCGACTTAAGACTGGTTTTGTGGTCCAGGGTCACATATATAAAACTGTTATTTTAAATAGTTATAATATTTCACAATATACATTTACTAGTTTACTGCATTTTTGATTAAATAAATGCAGACTTGTTAAGCAAAAAAGACTTCTTTTGCAAATGTAAAAAAAAATTACCTGCAGTGCGTACAGTGTATATACGGTAATGTATACATAGTCATGATAATGAATAAAAGAATTGTATTGTTTTGTGTTGTTTTGGTGATCTTGTTAAATCTAAATTGATGTGGTTAAATTATCAATGTATTCCAATCTGTGATATTAAAAGATTTGTAATATCACCAATCAAATAAGTAATCAAATACATTTAGATTCTTATAAGTATATTTTACTTGATCAAATCACAGGAACAGTGTATGCTACTGTGAAATATCCCCCCCCCCAAAAAAACAAGAAAAATCTTACTGCTTTCAAAGACACACAATGTTCCTAATTTTCAGAAATTTAACCTGCCTTTTTCTCCTTCCCTTCTAACATTTACTGTACATGGTGAATGTTAAAGAACCAGTCATTTTATCTTATGAGCTTGGTCGCAATTTCACAGCTGGAGGTACCACTAAGCTCCCTAGCCAAGAGTCTGACGAGTGCATATTAACCCAGCTTCACACAGCTTGTCAAATCTCCCCCTTTGAAACGTAAAGGTCACACGTGTATGATGGAGACACGATGCTCTATTCAGCCTCTGTTAACCAATAATCGCTGCAGCTGACCACAATTCTCAGAAGAAGGTGAAATGAGTTTGCTTCTCTCATTCTCTAAATGCAAAAGCCCAGCAGACTCAATCTGCCTCTGTGGCTGTTCATTAAACCAGAAGAGCTCTAATAGAGCAAGAGCAATCAGCCATGACTCTCTGTCATTCAGCTCTCAATACCCCACATCTGCCACATCTGCTTCAGACACACACACACGCTTGCACACACACTGTGTGATTGAGTGTTGTTATTCACCCATGTCTCATTCCAGATTGAAGGAACATCCAAAAAGTCCTTGAAACTTTCAAAATCTGAATATAATTTGGGGAGGCTTTGTGGCTCACTGCAGCTCGTTTGTCATTAAAAGCCTTCAGGGAAAACATATTTCTGCCTAAGCTGTAATTGTTGCAGCATTTTTCTGTGTTGAAGGAATAAATCATTTAACAATGAAAAGACATTTTAAAAAATGTTCCAGTTTTTTAGTGCATACAATAAGAGTCAGTGGGTTCAATAAGTCAGTAAGTTCCTATTCAGTGTTATTTTAGTATTATTATCATACTATTATAGTATATATTATTGTTTTGAATTAGCTTTTATTTTTATATTTTCAGTCTTCATATTAATGTTAGTTTAAGTTCTTTCATTTTAGTTCTAATTTTGTCATGTGCTTTATCATTTTTATTATTTGTTTGTTTTTATACTTCTATATTGCTTATATAACTTACTTGTCAAGGCAATGTTTCATTTTTATTTTTATTTTATTTTATTTTCATTTTTATTTACATTTTATTTTATTTTATTTCAGCTTCATTTCAATTACAGAAAAATAATTTGTTAGAACTTTGTTATCATTTAGTTAATGATAACAAAACTGGCCCAATGTTGTTTTGAACATCACTGACTTTTATTGTATGGACAAAAGCAGAAGAAACATTCTTTAAAATATATTTTTGTTCCGCACAATAAAGAAAGTCATACAGATGAATCATGACAGAATTTTCATTTTTGGGTGAACCATTTATAACCAATGGAGCAATCTAAATGTGTGGATGTTACAGAGTTTAAACAGGAGCATACCGTGTTTTTCCATTGCGGAAACTGACACACATGCAGAGCAGGATGCAGAGCAGACCAAGACACACTCCAACTATGATACCAGTCACAGCATGGATATCCAGCTCTGTAGGAGAGTGATAAAGAGAGAGAGAGAAGGAGGCAGGAGGAAAAGACAGATAAAGAAAGACAGCAGAGTGGAAATAGCAAGAGAGAGAGAGAGAGAGAGAGAATGCAGAACAGAATTGTAAAAATCAGTCAGCGAGTAATTATACATAATTAAACTTCATAGTAATTCAATACAACTGAATCATGCTTAAGCATAACAATGTGTTATATTAATTATAAGTCATTATATGACTGGTGTATGTAAGTCTGTGTGATTTTCTGTGGCCAACTCCCCACAGACGGTGTGTGTGTCTGAGGCTGGACTGAATCACTTCACACTTCCTGTGGGAGTGCTATTAATTGAGTGTCAGTGATGGGCAGAGGCAGATGGCAGTCTCTACACACACACACACACACACACACACACACACACACACACACACACACCCTGTGACGCCTCATGCCAATTCAGAGAAACTTAACTGGCATTATAAACAAGGGTTTTCTTTGCCAAAGCAATAGAAAATATTAAATAGACATGAAGATATATACAAGCACAAATCAGTGAAATTTGCAGGTTCATGTTTGTAAGCTATAAGCTTCCATTTTATGATAGCAAATGTTCACATATCAGTCAAGTTTTCTGTAGCTCAAAGAGTATTGCAAGGCCATGGGTTTGATTCAGTTGATTGTATACCTTGAATACGATGTATATCTCTTTGGATAAAAGCATCTACCAAAGGCACAAGTGCAAATGTAACAGAAATGTATAAATGTATTACATAAATGTAAAGATTCTGAGGTTTCAATTAGTAGCTATGAGAGATTGATTCTTTTATATTTAAAGTGAAATAAAGTTTACTTAAAAACAAATTATCACCGTAAAAACAGTAAAAAAGTTTTTGAAAGGAGTCTCTTATGCTCACAAGGATGAATTTATTTGATCAAAAATACAGTAAAAACAGTAATATTGTGAAATAGTATGAAACATTAAAATAAAGATATTTTGATAAAAGGAAAATAATAAGGAATGCCATGTATTTGAAACAGAAATCTTTTAACATCATACATTTCTTTATTATTACTTTTGATCAATTTAATGCTGAATAAAACTATTAATTTCTTTTCTTTTTTTTCTTTCAGACCCCAATCTTTTGAACAATAGTGTATCTATTTACATCACAGGTAAAAAGTCACCTGGTAATTAAAAACAAAAAAACTGCAGGGTGATATTGGCGTGCTGCTCTGAAAAGTGCAAATCATAAAATGCTTTATCGGATCTATAAATTAAATTAATTAATTAAACTAGCCAAAGCAATACTGCAAAAGTACCAAGTAAATGGTGACCACAGAAACATAATATAAACCTTGTACACACCCTTAAAAAAACCATACACTCAACAAATAGTGTGAAAACCTTTACATACACATACACACCATATTTCTTTGGAGGAGTATAGACATCCTTCACAGGTGAATATGGTCCCACCCCAACTTCAGTGCAAGCCCCCATCTTAAAATAATAACGTGTCCCACTCATCAGGCCTTGGACCTCTGCACTGGTAACAGAACCTAAGGAAAGAAAGTGAGACAAAGAGAGATTTATCAGAGACATTATAAATTCTCATATGAAGTACAGCACCATGTGCTTGTTGTTTGTGTGTGTGTTTGTAGATTTACCATCATGTGTGAGGTTTATCCACAGGTGATCTGGATGGCTCATGTTGCCAGTGTAGAGGATCCAGTAGGTCAAAATGACACCATTTGGCTCCAGTGGAGGGCGCCAGCTCACCAGAACAGAGTATGAGTCCAGCGCACTCAACTGCATATCCAGAGGAGGAGAGGAGGGTCCTGTCATAAAAACACACGTTTATACCCGACACACAAGACACCAAAAAAGTATAAGAGAAGCATAATAATTAAGAACGTTTTCGCTCTGAATCATTTGAATTAAACACAATAAAAAAAAACTCCTTTACCCATTATTTCAGACTATTCATACTTAAAGGGGACATCGGATGCCAATTTTCCACAAGTTTGTGTGATTCTTTAGGGTTTTCATGAAATGTCTGCCAAATTCCTCAATGGTCATGTAAAACAACACCCTTTTTACCTTGTCAAAAACAGCTCTGTTCACAGCGACCCGTTTCGGTTCATGTCTCTTTAAATGATAATGAGCTATTGCTCACCCCGCCCCCCTGTTCTGTTTTTTTGTGTATTTGGTGGCGCATTACCATTAAAAACAAAACTACTCCACTGTGTCCTCAGTTGCTCTGATGTCAAGAGAAAATTAAGACTCTTATGTTCACTTTTACATCCAACTACAAAACACCTGCATTGGTTACGACACATTGTTGTCACTCACAGAAAACGGCGCACAGCGTACAACTGGCTGAGAGCAGAAATATTCTAATACAGGACGGTCCGTCAGCAGTCGTGGGTGGGGCCTGAGCAGTATGATGTCATACTGCTTAGAAAATCAAAATGGCTTGATAATTGAGACTCTTTAGGTTTTATGAGGATTTAAAAAAAAAAAAAGGAGTGAATGGATTTTTATCATTGTAGGGTGGTTGTGTCCACACACTGCTAAGACACATTTACAAACACCATGTAAACGTGAATTTTGCATCCAATGTCCCCTTTAAAGTACTGTGGCATTCACAGTGGTCTTTACATGGTATGTCACGGTACAGTACTTTCAGAAATGCCATGGGACTACTTTGCTGTAAATGTACTCTGAATGCACTAATATAATTGATTTTTATTGCTTTAAAAATTGCAAAGGGATTTATAGGATCAATAAATTTAATAAATAAACTAGCTGACACACCGGTACAATAAGCAACATTTATAGTGCTTCTGATGGACAACAGGTGTGTGTGTAATTAATTAGTTGCAGGTGCGGGGCTTGTGGGAAATGTAGTCCATGGTGAGAACTGACTGACATCGTGACAAATACTGCTTATTGATATCTGCTGCAAAGTACCAAAACAAAATAGTGACCACAGAAATGTAATAAATAAACCTTGAAAAACAAAACTTGAAGGTACACAACTTTAAAAAAAAATCATACGCTCAACAAATAGTGAAAATTATTTACAGTAAATATAACACTATAACACTAAAATGTTTTCAACAAATAACTTAAATTTCAGTCTGTTTCGGTCTGCATGGCTTCTAGAAACATACACACAAAGTCACATAGACTCTTTTAATGACATATAACTATTTTAGAAGGTTGACAGTAAAAATCACTATCCACTTTTATTGTATGGAAAGGAGCAGCTTGAACATTCTGCTAAACTCCTCATTTTGTGTTTCATGCTAAACTTGATTTTGAAAGCAATGCTTTGAGTGGATGATCCCTATTGTATGCCTGATATATTGTATTTTTGTGTGCTGGCTGCTAATGCAACACAAATATCACAAACACAAAAAAAATGCAGTTTTCCTTTTGTAGAAAAAAGTGTTCGCCAAAAAAAGCACATTTAAAAGTTTGTGATGCTATAATGGTCTCAGCATGTGCGGTCTGGGATATACAACGAGTATAATATCAGGTTTTTTTAGAGGGAAAGGTCTCATTTTGAAGTACCCACTTTTTCTCCCCCCCCTCAAAAGTAGATAAAACTCCTCTCAGTTAGTCTGACACTAAATCTCTGTGGCAACATGCCCCTCCCCGCCATCACTTGGCTAGACTGACTGACAAGCTGAAAGACTCTTGGCCAACAAGAGGGGCAATTCCATCTGGGCTTTTAATTAAAGCCAATTATCTCCTTACACCTCTCCCTATTAATCCCCTAACTGTTAACCTAACACAAACACACTGACTCACACTGAGCCACACAACTCACACACTCGCAATACACTCACAATTCATTCATCACTTCCCACTCAAAAAAACCCTAAAGACACTCACGCTTGTGTACACGCTATAATTAAAGCTCTCGCTCACGCACGAACAAACACAAGACACAGTATGAACTCCCCCAAATTTACCCATGTGATTTACTCGTGTGAAAAAGAGAATAAAGACCATATAACATCTTCATACTTCACATAACTTTCTTTTTCCCATATATTAGGTAGAAAGGCTCTTTTACAGCACTGAAATGGGCTGTACTCACTGTCTGGAAGTGTGGACTCTTCCACTGTGCTGCTGAAAGGGCCACTCATATCAACTCCCTTAGACTGCACAGCAATTTCATAGCTGGTGAAGGGCTTTAGTGATTCCAGAAAAATCTCCTGAGAAGAGCTGAAATACAGTGAGGTACAGAAAAATGCAGTAAGAGGACCGGTTGACTGATAAAGGAGTCAATTAGTGCTATCTAGAGCAGCGTGGCTTAAATAAATCAGTCAAAAGTTTGGGGGAAAATTGAATGTTTTTGAATGAAGTCTCTTATGTTTACCAAGGCTGCATTTATTTGATTAAAAACACAGTAAAACAATCATATTTCGCAATATTATTACAATTAGAAAAATAAACAGAAATAAATTAAAAACTAATTTGCTTTAATATATTGTGAAATGTAATTTATCCCTGTGATGGCAAAGCTGAATTTTCAGCATCATTACTCTAGCCTTCAGTGTCACATGATCCATCTGAAATCATTCTAATATGCTGATTAGGTGCCTCTAGAAACATTTGTTGTTATTGAAAACAGTTGTGCTGCTTAATATTTTTTTGTGTAAACTGTGATATACAGTATTTTTTTTTTCCAGGATTCTTTGACGAATAGAATATTTAGTAACATTATAAATGTCTTTACTGTCACTTTTGATTAATTTTTGATCAGTCATATAGCATATATAGAGAAAAATATCATAAAAATATCATTCATATATAGAGAGAAAATGATAGGAATTAACTTACAATATTTACTTAAAATTCAAAAAAATTATTATATTCTATTATTAATGATAAATTCTGATCAATTTCAAAAACGCCAAAGATTGGCAAATAATTGCTGGATGAATGAATGCTTGGGTAAGAAAATGACTGAGCAAGTGAGCGTGCGATGATGTATGTGTGCCTTTAGTCTTTATTTCACAATGATTGTTTATAATCTGTCTATACATGACCATTATTGTGTATATGCCTGGTACCTGGTATAGTATGAGACCAGCGATGCATTGCGTATTCCTGCAGGGCTGCAGCGTATAGTGTAGTTGATGATTCGCACATTGCTAAAGTGCGGTTTCTCCCAGCGGAGCCAGATAGAGGTGGAACTGTTTGCACGAGCTCTGACGCTGATGGGTGGCAATGGTGGGAGAGAGTCTGTCGTCCGCACTAAGAAAACGACACACACACACACACACACACACAAATTTAGTGCGATTTAAATCTACAGGACAGCAATATATGATTTGATCTCATCACAACCACACGCACCTCGTGTGAGCTTCTCTGTTCTGCCCTTCCAGACAGCAGCATAACCCTCAGTCTGTTTATTAAACGCCCAAACTTTCACCTCATACAGCTGATCAGGAGCTGAAACAATCAGGCAAATAAAACTTCACATGCTCATACTGGAAAACATTGCGCATACTTTGCATTCATGCTGGTGTAGGCCAGTGTTATTTTAGTATCAATAAGATGAATAACTGATATATAATAATAATTAGAATATTTTTTGTATAATTTTCATTTTAGTGAAAGTTTTAGTAATTTTGTCATTTAAATTTTTTTTTTATATACTGTATAGTTTTTTGAAGCATATTTCAGTTTTAGTTGTAGTAATTTAAGTGCTAAATGAAAATGAAAAATACTGCTTTGGCAACTAGCTGAAGTTTATTTTATATATTTTATTTTAATTAACATTTCGTTTATTTCAAGCAATGAAAGTTATTTTTTATGGCTTTAGTTTCAGTTAACTATATTAACCCTGGTGTAGACTGGTCTCTTGAGCAAGAATTGCATGAAAAATACTGTCTGAAGTCATGGGCAAACAGCCAATACAGCCAAAGCTGATCTTCAGTTTTTCCTTTCTCAGATCCTTTTATAACGGCTGACAGTGACAGAGAGTCACTATCCACTAAGCACATCCAAAAATACAGTACCTGCATTTAGCATCAAAGGAGCTGCTGTGTAAATGTGGCTATTATATTAGAAATGCAGTTTCAAGTATATTTGTGTGTGAGAGTATAGTTTATGTGAATGAAGTTACTGCTCAGCTCTCACCAAGGCCTGTGACCTCATGGTGTTTAACTCTCTTCCTCAGTTTGATCTGTTGAATCCTCTCATTGATCATAGGCTTCTCCTCATTGGGCAGCTCCTCTCCATCCAATTCCCGCCAGGAAAGCTTATAACCGGTGATCTGAGTATGATTGGGTGGCGGCTGCCATGTGACATTGAGGGAATGCATTTTGGCTCTCACTTTGAGCTCAGTGGGAGCAAAGAGCACTGGGAAAAACAACAGAGGGAGACAACAGTGAGAACGGCGGTGTGTATTTTGTGTGAGCATGCTGGCAGGGCAGTACATAAGCAGTGGCGCCTCCAGGACAGTTTTAATGAAGGATGCTGAAAATTGCATACAAATTAAACTAGTATTTTAAACAACCAAAAAGAAGCCTGCAAGCTTATCCAACTACAATAATTCATGTGGATCAGAATTATTAGATTTTTTTATTTTCCTACGTTTAACCTCCCGTGTAAGCTTTAAGAATAGACCTTGGGAAACAGCTAAAAATGAGAAAGTCCTAATAATTTAGCTTAAAAATAATTTACTTGATTTAATTTTTTAAGACAAAATTAAAATAATTAAAATGAAGATAATATGAATTAAATAATTTAAAAATATAATTAAATAAAATAATTCAAATAATAAATAATTCAAAATGGCTATGGATTGAACAGAAGATACACATATTCATTATCAGATTTTATACTAAAATTAGCATAACATCCATTAGCATTCAAAAGTTTGGGTACAATATGGTTTTTGGCAAAAAATAATAATAATACTTTTATTTAGCAGTGATACATTATATTGACCAAAAGGGACAACAAATAAATTTATAATGTTACAAAAGATTCTTATTTTTAAATAAGTGGCAGTTTTTTAAACTTTCTATATGACAATTTCCACAAAAATATTAAGCAGCACAAATGTTTTCAACACTGATAATAACAAGAAATTATTCTTGAGCAACAAAGCAGCATACTGAAGACTGGAGTAAAATTCAGCTTTACCATCACAAGAATACATTTACATTTTTATCTTGTAATAACATTTCACAATATTACTGTTTTTACTGTAATTATTTTATCAGATTTTTATAAAATGCAGCGTTAAACAGTAGTGCATTTAGGACTTTGTACTTGACCATAGATTTGAACTTTGTTCCAGGGCAGACAAGATCTAAACTACACACAAAAAATTACTAGCATAAAGCATGTGGTGACATATGCTTACTTGAGTTTTTTTTATTTTTGGGCCATGTCTGATTATACAGTACATGTAGACATCACTAGAAAATCACTATTTAAATCACTAGAAAATCTGAAGTTAACCAAAAATGTATACAATCTTGGTGATTGCGAGACCAGTGGGGTGGTCAGTGTTGTTTTAGGGGATCAACGGCCCACCGGCCGCCCCTTGGAGGCACCACTGCATATAAGTTTAACCTTGTGCGAGTTGAAACTGGTATCAGTATGCATATAGTGCATTTGCTTATGTGTGCGTGTTTCTGTGTTTACTCACCCTGAGTAAGGTTTGGTGTGTGGTGCGAGGCCCACTCAGAAGACTGACTGAACCCAGCTCGCGTTCCCGCCGCAATCCGGAGCTGGTACGTTTGATTTGGTTTCAGATCCCTTAGAGTCACCTGCGTCTCATTCCCACCCACTTCCACAGAGTAGATGTGATCCACTGGAGGGCACACACACACAAACACGTGCCAGAAAATATGTATGCCAGTGAAAATCATTTCTGCAGCTGGCTGATAAAGAAGCACGAACAATGAATGTCTGAATTGAGTTTGCTTCTGTCTCTCATTCTGCGACACAGGCCATCAGACCGAATCTGTCTTTTGTTCCACCTTTATTGCTGTTCATTAAGCATCCAGAGCTCTAACAGAGCAGGAGCAATCAGCCATGTCTTTGTCATTCAGCTCAAAATACCCCAGACATGCCTGCTGCCCTACTAGCGACTACAGATAATGCACACACGAATTCAGCAGCCAACATGTATTTATCATGTTTCAAGGTCAAGGTCACATCTTAACCCTATAAATTCTACTGTATCATATTTTATATGCAAATTTCAAAGGCCTCCAAATTTTCAACATGATCAAAACTTTGCTGAAATACCTGTTGTATACAATCTACTACATACCTTTGTCGTCTGATTGATAGGTTGTACTTTTTAGCAAGTAAAAGGCCTTTTATGCCGAGTTCACACTGCAAGATTTTCAAACTCGTCGGATCGCCGTTGTTTTCACACTGCGTGACAGTCACATCTGGGGTATCATTCAGTTGCTGCTGTGTTCACATTGCACGATGGATCGGCGACAGGGGGTTTCACATTGCATGACTTCACAATAGGAACAATCGCCGACAGCTCTGTCTGGTCCGCAAACTACGTTTCACAACAAAACACACGCGAGAAGTGATAAGGAAATAACGCGAGAACCCGCGTGCGTCAGACCGGAGTTTTCGAGCGAGACTGGAATTATTAAAAAAAATATATATAGCCCGCAAATTGTCTGTGAGCTGATTTCCAGCTACAAGGAGAAAAAGAAAAACAGATTATGCAGGACGGCGATGCAGGGAACAAAACCTGTCGGCGAGTGAAAAATCGGGCTAAAATCGTGCAGTGTGAACTCGGCATTAGTTTAATTCTAAAAACGCCTCCTTAAGGTCATGGTACACATGTCTTTTTACTGTGCCCCCACTACAAAATAAATGATCATAAAACTAAGCATTTAAATATCCTAAGAGTTACTTGTAGAGAGAGAGAGAGAGAGAGAGCGAGAGAGAGAGAATGATATTATACTGTCTATTATACTGTTATGATCTCACTGATTTACATAAGAATCAAAATTGTATCTTATTTCTGACTATATATATATATATCAGCAGCTGCACAAAATTGCATTTTTTGAGCCTTTGAACAAAGTCTATGTTTTTTTTTTGTGCTATATTAGCCATAAAAGCCTGATGTATCAAATATGATACTCAACAAAAACACATATGTAAACCTTTTTTTAGTTTTTTTTTTTTACTATTTTTTGTAAAGGTTTAATAAATTCTTCCATTTCAAAAAATGTGATTTGTCTGACTATTAATTCATATGTCAGGCTTTACAGGGCTAACAAGAACACAAGGTGGCGCTGTCTTACCCTGCTCCAGCGCTCTGTAGTCAATGCGGTAGCGTGTGATGGCTCCGCGGCTCAGCTGTGAGGACAGAGGCAGCCACATGGCTCTGATGTCAGTGGGAGATGTGCTCAGCAGGGACAGCTGTGGAGAAGCGCTGGGAACTGCAGAGAACACAAAGCAAACAAAGATTTACAAAACATGCCCTAAATTATGTACTACACACTATGCATTTATACTATGCGCTACGTACTCTGTCGTCTAGTGTATTCCTTTTATAAGGTTATTAGATCACGCCCTTTCTTTTGGAACATGCTTCACAACTCCTTGTTCAAGCTCTTGTTCTGTCCAGGCTGGACTATTGCAATGCTCTCTTGGCAGGTCTTCCAGCCAGTTCTATCAAACCTTTACAATTAATCCAGAACGTGGCAGCAAGACACATTTTTAATGAGCCAAAAAGAATGCACGTCACAACTCTGTTTATCAATTTGCACTGGTTACCAACAGCTGCTCGCATAAAATTCAAGGCATTGATGTTTGCCTACAAAACCACCACTGGCTCTGCACCCCTTTAACTAAATTCATTACTTCAGACTTATGTGCCCTCTAGAAGCTTGCGTTCTGCAAGTGAACGTCACTTTATTGTGCCATCCCAAAGAAGCACAAAATCACTATTAATACTTCAAAGTGGCACAGAATAGTGCAACAGTATGCACATTCACCTAGTGTCTATTGCACAGAGAGGTCATTTATTTTTCTCTGGCCACCAGAGGGCACCCATATGAACGAAAATTGCTATTATATATCAACCTCATTTTGCTACACAAAATTAGGCTATTTTCTGTAAATGTGCTACACTTCCTATTCATCAGGTGCTACAGGTAAATAACCAGAAGAATAAAAAGTGCAGCAAACAGTAAAACTATTTGCACTACAAACCAGTGCATTTACGATTATGGTAATAAATTAAAATACAAATAGGAGTCTGCAACATCAAGCAGCCTAACAGGCAGTTTTTTGTACAGCTAAAATAATTGGAAGTGGCTGGCATTGAAAATCTTGCACATTCAATTAAAAATTGGCAGCGCCAGCTATGTTCTCTTATGTAAAAAAAAATTGTGGATAGCACCAAATGAAATAGCAATCTGTTCGTTTCAGAAATGCTGTGAGTTTGCCATTTTGCCATTGTCATTCCATCTCTGAATATTTGATTCCATCTTTCAAATTACTAGCATTGCGATTAAAATTGCACTAAAAACAATGGTTAAGTCTAGCACATTGCATACAGCATTTACAGCATGTGAGGTGTTACATAATAGTTATTAATAAGCTGTTCATGTATTCCATGCATAAACCATGCAGATTGTACACAGCATACAGTACATATCATAGCGGTTGGGATCAAAACAACCCAACCACTGGGTCAAAACAACCCAATAGCTGGGTTTGTCCCTATTTAACCCAGCATTTTTTAGAGTGTATGATAGCATGCTATTCTGACCATAGCTTGTGAACCTTTAGTAAGGCAGAAAACCAAGCGTGCTTTTGTGCCAATTAGTCAATCCACATTGCTTTGCATTTAAAGGAATAATTCACCCAAAAATGAAAATGTTGTCATCATTTACTCTATCTTATGTTGAACATAAAAGAAGGTATTTTGAAGAATGCTGGTAATCAAACAGTTGATGGTCCCCATTGACTTCCATAGTATTTCTTTCCCTATGGAAGTCAATGGAGACCAACAACTGTGTGGCACTTCAACATTTTTCAAAATATCTTCTTTTGTGTTCAACATAAGAAAGAAACTTATACAGATTTGGAATGACATGAGGGTGAGTAAAAGATGACCAGGTTTTCATTTTTGGGTGAACTATTTCTTTAAAACCTGACCTCTCCCCATCAGTCAGTGCTCACCGTCCTCTAGCGTCTCCACTGTAACGGGCTGTGACGGGCGGCTGGCACCCATGGGCGAGTAGGCCACTACATAGAAGGTGTAGGCTGTGTGAGGGAGCAGCTCCTTTACGTGCAGCTCTGTTGTGTCGTTATTCACTGCAAACTGATACTCCATGTTGTCTGAGCCTGTCAACACATAAATAGTGCATTTGCTTTTTAAACATTTGATCTTAGCCAAAATATTTTTTCTGACACAAGGTGTATGTGTTTCTAAATGAAGGAAGCGTGACCCCATCAATAACAGCCGGACCGTACATATGGCTTGTGGTTCTGTACAGCCACGATCTATGAAGTGGATTGGCTTCGGTAAAGTAATGAGACAGGATTTTTCTCTGTGGACTGATCCACTTAAGCTGGCTACACTCAGTGTAATGAGAAACACTGCAGGTCAAACAGGGACAAAACAGGAAAGTGCTCACAGAAAGTTGTTTTTTAAATTTAAGAACAAATTAACGTTCTTTAAAATTAAACCAGTGTTATTATAGTATTATTTCTATACTATTATAGCATTTATCAGTTTATTTCACATTTCACTTATCACATTTCCAGTTTTCAGTTTATTTTTTGTGCTTTTGTAATTTTTATTTTATTATTTTGCTATACTATAATTTATTTGTAGTATAGTTTTAGTCATTTTAGTTCTTCAACTTAGTATAATTATTGACTATATGGCAATGTGTAGTTGAAGGGTTAGTTCACCCAAAAATGAAAATTCTGTCATTAATTACTCACCCTTGTGTCTTTCCAAACCTTTAAGACCTTTGTTAACAAATTAAGATATTTTTGATGAAATCTGAGAGCTTTCTGACCAAGCATTGACAGTAATGTAACTGAAATGTTCCTAGACCCAGAAATGTAGTAAGGATATCGTTAAAATAGTCCATGTGGCATCAGTGGTTCAACCGTAATTTAATGAAGCTACAAGAATACTTTTTGTGTGCATTAAAAAAAAAAAAATTTTGATGAAATCTGAGAGCTTTCTGACCAAGCATTGACAGTAATGTAACTGAAATGTTCCTAGACCCAGAAATGTAGTAAGGATATCGTTAAAATAGTCCATGTGGCATCAGTGGTTCAACCGTAATTTAATGAAGCTACAAGAATACTTTTTGTGTGCATTAAAAAAAAAAAAAAATTTTATTCAACAATTCTTCTCTTCCACGTCACCATCCTCCGCCATTAACGAGAGTAGCACAAAGCTTCGTAAAATTATGATTATGTCACATGGACTGTTTTATAGATGTCCTTAATACGTTTTTGTGCCTGGGAACATTTCAGTTGCGTTGCTGTCTATGCAGGGTCAGAAAGCTCTCGGATTTCATTACCAATATCTTAATTTGTGTTCTGAAGATGAACAGGGTTGGAACGACATGAGGTTGAGTAATTAATGACAACATTTTTTTTTTTTTGGGTGAACTAACCCTTTAAATATACATTATGCATTTTGCATTAGTATTTTATAAATATTAATTGATATGTTACAACATTATAAATTATCTCACCATTAGGCAACAGAATGGTATTTCTTTACTCCCCATTCTGAAATTTTAAATACATAAAAACACACTTTCTCTCACCTGCTGTGCATTGGTAGTGTACTGAAAAGCCAATGATCTGGTCACTATTATGTTCAGGTGGGTCCCAGGTGAGCAGGGCAGAAGTGCTAGAGTGGGGTATGGCCGACACATGACGAGGAGGGCTAGGCAGACCCTCCCTCACGATGACGGACAGTTTGGCAGTGGCACAGGCGGTGCCCAGGCTGTTGGCAGCAATACACTGGTAGTATCCCGCATCGTCCAGCCGCAGCTGGTTGATGAGCAGAACTCCAGGGTTCTGAGTCTTAACCCGGGCATTAGACTGGACCGGTTCTCCATTCTTCAGCCAGCGCAGAGCAGGGGGAGGGTCACCAGAACTATTACACACAAACCGAGCTGTATTCCCCCGGGACAAGGACACCGCCTCTGGGGGCTGGAAGATGACTGGTGGAGCTGGGCAAAATGAATTGGAAAAAAAGACAGTGGGAAAAGTGGAGATATAACTTATTAATGCATTAGGTACCGTGAGCTACAACTTAATAATGTTGGTTAATGTTAATATAAATGTACTATTTTAAAATGTACTCACCCTCAGGCCATCCAAAATGTACATGAGTTGGTTCATCAGAACAGATTTGGAGAAATTTACCATTACATCACTTGCTGACCAATAGATCCTCTGCAGTGAATGGGTGCCGTCAGAATGAGAGTTCAAACATCTGATAAATACATCACAATAATCTACAAGTAATCCACACTCAGTCCACTCCTCCATTTCTGTTTTTATTAGATGTTTGAACTCATATTCTGACTGCAGAAATCATCCAAATCTGTTCAGATAAAGAAACAAATTCACCTTACATCTTGGACGGCCTGAGGGCGAGTGAATTTTCAGCAAATTAAAATTTTTGAGTAAATTATTCCTTTAACTTACGTTAAAGTTAACTTAAAAAGTTAAACTTAAAAAATGTGTATATAGAAATGAACACTAAGATTAATTTATTGTTTATTGCAAGTTCATATTAGCTATTGTATTAACTACAGGTGATACAGAATAAGTGTTACAGAAATCATGTGTAAATCAACCAATGGGCAAAAACCACTCCATTACACCCATAAAATGAGTCATATTGTAGGCTCTAATATGTCAGGAAGCTATAAACTTACTTTAACATAATTTCTCAAGGACAAAAAAAATATATCTACTACTATTTTTCCCCTGCAAAACAGATGGGCATCAATTAAATGAAGCCTCCCCTAGTGCGTAAAAAAAGCTTCTTGCTGTAAAGGTTGGAGCATATTTTTGGGAGGAATAATTATACAATACTTCCATGCAGAACATTTCTTGTCTGTTTTATGTTTTTGGTTGAGATTGCTTCTAAAATAAGTTTTCCTTATGAAATTTCTTCATTTACCAAGCACCTAGCCAGATCAAAAGATCAGTCAGTGTATGCACTGCATTTAGTGTATGCATGGCCACAAAGTTCCTCTATGGTCTGACCACAACACACAGTTGGAGCTGTTGTTCAAACAACCTCATTAGATAGCGTTTAGCAATGGAATCACTTAAATGTGCAGTTCAGATCCTTGTGATTCTTCCAGTGACCATTTATTGTTTTTTTTCATTGCGCATGGACAATATGTATGTATGCGTATCTTCTTCCTTGCTAAAATTTGCATCTGTTTTGGACAAACACAAATACAGGAAGTACTACCTAAACTAATAAACAATAGTACTGTCATAATGGTTTTGCTACCATGGTGTGTGTGTGTGTGTGTGTGTATGTATGTATACCATTTATATATACCGTCTATGAATTTTACATCCAGTCAGCCAGGTCAGCAACCATCTGTTTTGTTTTTTTTTACCAGAAAGCTTATTGATTTTAATCATGGTGACGAGGGGATTTTATAATATATTTTATAATGCAGGGGAAAAGAAACTGGCAACCATACAGTTTTTGAACAAATATTGAAAACCTAACGGCCATTAAAACTACTAGCCAATTAATTTTTTTGTGCTTGATAAATAAGATATACAGCTTCCCATATGTTGGAATCACTGATTCTGAATCAGTAAGACTCATTGTATATTTTGTTGCATTTACAATCACTCAGTAATGTATCCAGTATTTATTCAGAATATGCAGGATCCATTAAAAGGAAAACACACTATTACCCAGAACTCGAAGTTCAGCGGGAGATGAGACGAAATCTCTGGTCTTGGGTTTGTTGGCACGACACACATACACTCCAGCATGGTGACTGCGGGTGTCAGGAATCACTAGGTTGGTTGCCAAGACAACCACATCTGTAGCTATAGACTTCCCATCTATGCATCCCAAAGGAGTGGTTGTGTAAAAAGAAGGCAAAAAATGAAAAAGAAAATGAAAAATTGATTAATCAAGACTGAGCAAGCAGGGACATTTCAAATTTGAAGTATACAGCTGTCAATATGAAAAATAGGACTTTTTTAAGGATTTAACCATGTCACTAGGTGGATCCAAGTCTCATGTACTATTAATAAAAATTAAATTAAAAAACATTAACAAAAATGTTACGTTTTTAAAGAAACGAATAACAACATTTAATTCTGTCATCAATTACTCACCCTCATGTTGTTCCAAATGCAAAAACAATGAATAGCGCCAAAGATTTAATGGCTACACTTTATTTTAAGGTATTTATTAAAGTAATTATTCACTTAAGCACTAAGTAATATTAATCTACTACATGCACTTACTATATGGTTAGGGTTAGGATTAGGGTGTGGTTTAGGATTACTTGCATGTAATTATGCATAATTTCTTGTTTTTATAATAATAAGTACATGTAACGTGTAACAAGGACACCTTAAAATAAAGTGTTACCGCTTTAATATTCCAATAAAGGATGCAAACATCAGCAGTGTCCATACAACATTTCTCATTCTGTAACCCATGCCAGAAAGAAAGGAAGTCTTTTGTGTCTGAAGCAGCATGAGGGTCAAAAATGATGCAAATTTCTCATTTTGAACTATAATGCTGTGCAATGCACATCATGAACCAGCAGAGGTCAGTACAGCACTGGAGCACTTGGTACAGCGTGCATTAACGATTCCTAGACACTGACCGTCTGCAGCTGCCATATTAGCGCTCAAACAAAGAAAAAAGACACCTCATGAATTTTTACAACATCTTGTTAATTTTTCATGAAACCTAATGAGAATAATGCTCTCAGTTATACAGTCTTGGCATTATTGTGGGGGAAAGAGGACAAAATGAGGTCCGTAATGAACCTGGATGGAGGCAGTAACAGTGGGGGTGAAGGGCGGGTGTGTAGTTGGGGTGTCTGCTGCAGCAAAGCCACGTGTCTATAAACCAAACATATAAGCTCACCTATAAATCACAATTTGTGTGCTTCATTTACATTTTCCTATGTAAGCACTCAAAAGTTGACAGTGAACACAGCACTAATTACATTTCGGTCATTCAGCTGACACTTTTATCCAATACAACAATGCACGTATTACAAGCACAACGTCTGCTAATCAACCAGGGGTTCAAGTGCTTTATTCAAAGGCACAGCAATACTTGTTTAAAGATTTTGAACCTGTCGGGGTTTGAACTTACTAGGCTCTCCGACTCCTATTTAAAGGGGTCATATGATATCTCTTTTTCCAGCACACACATATATACGTACATACACATTCATAAACCCAAAAATAAATGATGGATTACATTATGCATTGGCCACTTTGATTCATCAAATGTGTGTTGGAAAAAACAATAAGCATTTGTGAGAGAAGGAACAGGACATAAAATAGAAAAACCAAAAGATTATTTACTTCCTTTTGAAGTTTTCTTAGTAGACTACAATGCCGGCTGTTCTGACTCAAAGACTGTAAGTACGTCTTTTATATTTTAAGAGTTTTTATATTTTATATATTTAACGCGAGTTTTTTGGGCAGTGTAGAGTAGCACTTGTAGTTTGTCATTTCTCCAATCACAAATGCAGACAGGGTTTTATGTTTACGTGGCGCGATGCGATGCAGTATAAGTCATTATAATCCGTCCCCACTGGATGCAACAAATGCCTCGTTTATAATGGGTTTTAATGTTTTTGTCTCGTCGCTCCGGGACACGGCATCACAGTATGGTAAGGGGCGTAACATTTCCGTCACACGCTTGAGGTATTCGGTCAATCACAACGCACTGGATAGCTGGCCAATCACAGCACACCTCGCTTTTCAGAACGATGAGCTTTGTAAAAATCGACGCATTTCAAAAAGGCGGGGCATAGAGGAGAAACAATAATGTACAGTATGTGGAAAATAATGTGTTTTTTTAACTTTAAACCGCATAAACACATTTCATTACACCAAATACACAAAATAATGTTCTTTTTAGCAGCATCATATGACCCATTTAAATCTATATTGTGCACCTTGGTCCACAGCTATTTTTGGTTTGGGGTTCTTAAATCTTAATTTGACATATTCAATCCTGATTGGACGATACCGATCAGGTGGGGTGACATGTTCTTGTTTATGGGCCAAGTTCAGGCACAATATACAGGCCAGGTACATGTGCAGACTCCTAAAAACCTTCAACTTGTCAGTTAGCCTAGATCTGTCAACAGCAGCACTTTCAGTCTGTTACCGTAGACCGGGCTACAGATGTGTGTGTTTGTAATATATTAGTGTTTGTGTCTTACCCTGTCTGCTCCATGATACGAAAGGTTTGGGTTCACCCTGAGCCATGCACTCCATCACAGCCGGACGACCCATGACCACCGTAGAGTTCCGTGGTGGAGCCACAATCACGACCTCACTCTCCTGAGACAGACCTACAGAGACACAGATTATAAGTGTGTGTTTGTGTACGGAACAAGAGAGTGTTCACCATCAGGCACAGGGGTTTGCTTGAGTGAAAGCAGCATTAGATGAAGCAACTGACCTGACAGAGGACACTGTTTCCTCTTTTGCTCACAGGTAGTGAGAAAGACAGATAGAGCGAGATAGGATTGAGATGAGGAGGAAAGAGAAATGAAACAGAGTGTAATGAAGAGATTGAGACAATGAAAGACAGGAGAACCTTAAGGCCAAAGAGGATAGGTGTCATTTATATGGGTTGCAGCTGTCACATATAAATAAAATATATATTTAAAGTAACATTATTAAAAATATATATATTTAATTATTTAAAATTAATAATTTTATTCAGCCAAGGTGCATTAAATTGATCAGAAGTGACAGTAAAGATATTTATAATGCTACAAAAGGTTTCTATTTCAAATAAATGCTGTTCTTTTGAACTTTCTATTCTATTTCATTCTTTCTATCAAATAATCATGAAAAATATTTATCACAATTTTCACAAAAATATTAAACAGCAACTGTTTTTAACATTTATATTAATAAGAAATGTTGCTTGAGCACAAAATCAGCATCAGTAAGCTGCTAAAAATTCAGCTTTTCCGTCACAGGAATATATTACATTTTAAAATACATATTAAATACTTATTAAATACATTAAAATATAAAACACATTAAATACATTAAAATATAACATTTAAAATTATAATAATATTTCTCAATATTCATGTTTTACTGTATTTTTAATCAAACAAAAACAAGCTTTTTTCAAAAATATATATAAAAAAATTAATATAAAAACTCCAAACGGTAGTGTGTATATTATGTTGTGTGTGTGTGTATATATATATATATATATACACTTTTGGGTCGACATTGATTGTGTTTAAATGTGGTCTATAAATACTATTTGACTATAAACTATAGATTCAGTGGTAAAGGCCTGTTCCTGTGGCCTCATAAGAGCCCATATGAATTCAGTAGACACACCCACAGATCATAATGAAGTAAAACATAAGCGTGCAGCTATGGATACAGTATGACGGTCATAAATTAATCACTCTGATTACATACAGCAGCAATCACATATGCAGGAGAGCACAGGGATTTAAAATAGGTCAGATTTCTGAGGCTATAGGGTGCACCGTGTAAAAGCAATGTGAGTGTGTGTGTCTGTATTTAAGCAGGTACACCAGTGGACGTGCTCCTGTGGTTAAAACAAACCCCGATACTGAGAACAGCAGACCACAAAGACCCACTTGAAGAACAGCAAAAGTTTGCTTATAAGGCTTTTTTAAGATTAAGTGAGTGTTTAACAAAATATTCAGTATCAAGCAGAATGCTGGTGAGCCAAACTACAGCTTCCCATTGCAGTGAGATGAGATACCTGCTTCGCACACACTCATAAAGACTGATACTGTGTACTTGAGCGGTCTGGTCTCAGGGGCAAAAGATGCATTGCATTCACAAAGCAAAACTACGATTTCCTCAAGGTGAAGACTGCTCTCTTTTAATCTGTCTTTCTCTCAATTCAGCATGATTTTATCAGCATGACTGAAAATATGACATATTAACAAAGCAGAGGATGTATGTAAAAATAGAACAACACATTAAAAGGTAAGTTAGACAACAAGTAACATAAGAACGACTTACATGAACGACTGAAGTGTTTATGTAACAATAAAGGCCATTTTCATTACATAAGATGTCTACATATACACGCAGACACACAGTGTCACCATGGTGAAGAAAAGCGTACAGAAAACATACTGGGATAATACATATTTAGTCACAGACTTGCAGACAGTGATGTGAAAACATATCTAGCAGCCAGTGTTGCTCTACGTCCTTCTCCTGTCATGATTGAAAAGCTGCTTGGGGTTCTTCAATTCTTTGCTAATTTAATAATAAAAGAAAAACAATAAGATGACAGACAGATAAATAAACGAATAAATAGCAATTGTGTTCAGTGAATCTATAACTTCTCCTTTTTTCTCATTCTACTTTTTTTTCTCTCGTTCCATCTCTATTTGTAAAGGTGCAGTCCTATTAACCAAATTTTGAGGAAATTCCACAGACAAAAAACATTGTTCAAACTTCAGCAATGCATGAAGAGCAGCTCACATAGAAGTCCCTTTCAACATCTTTCACCACTTAAGTAATTTTGTTTTCCTCCATAAAGAGAGAGAAGAAGCTTTATGAAGCAACTGATACAAATAAAAGGGTTGAAAGAGCAAATGGGAGTAAAAGAGAAGAAGAAGGAGAAAGATGAATGTGGAACAATTAGAGAGATGGCTTAAAAGATGAATGTGTGAGACGGAAAACACACACACACATAGACACACAGAAAATCATTGAGGTCTCTAGCTGATAACGCAGAAACATAATGGAAATGAGCAAAGGTCAGCATGGACATTTAAATGTGTGTGAAGGGGGTTAGAGGCTGAGACTGACTTCATAGCATTACCGATCCGTCTCCCTCGTCTTCCCACACTCCCTTTTATTTCATTTAGTTCTTTATCTCTCTAGCTTTCTCTGTCTTTGTTCCTCATCTCATTCCTCTCTTCCATCCCTCCTTTTGCCCCCTCCATTTCATCAGCCGAGCAGCCTTAAGGACAGCAGGAAATCAATTCTGCCTGCAACACAGACCACCTCTGCAGAGGGCACTTATACACACACACACATACACACACAACATTGAAAGTGCCACTGCAGATATTCAAACTTTACTTCAAACATAAAGACTGGAGGAGAACCACAAAACTGGTATTTTTCACAATTTAAGGGGTCATTTCATAAGGAATCACATTACCATTATTCTTCTGATATAAAATTGCTCAGAGTTTTATGAAAATATACTGTTACTTTCATTCAAAAATCTAAAATTTGCACCAACAACCACTCATTTTTACACATCAGGACAATTCAGTGTTTAGAAATCTGGTCATTCATCACAGTAAAGCAATCTGCTTGTTAACCTGCCATGTAATGAATGCTGTTTCCGGCCTCCACTCTTTTCAATTGGGAATACTATCTCAACAGCAACATTTATGGTAAGCTTTTAAAAACTCATGATGTACACTACAGTCTCTGTTGTATAAAGGGAACCTTCTGTGTAATGTTGATGCTGTACGGGACTAAAAGGGGGACACTGGGGGTATGACGTCAGTTCCTGAGTAAAGTTCTGAACGTGAGCATTACGTTGGTTTCTGGCTCGTTATTAAAGATGGCTAACGCAACAGTCTCCAAGCTTAAGGTATCCCGGACACCAATATTTTAATGATTCAGAAAAGATGAATCACTGTCTGGCCAGCAGAGATTTCCATATGGAGATAAAGGTTTGAATCATGACATTTTGGTAGCATTACAGCACATTGTGAGTGTATATTACCACCTTATGTTGTGACTGTGATGTGTGACGTCAGCCAAGTGAATTGGGGGGGGGAAGTAGAATAGATATTATCATTGGTAAACACTAAAAAAAACAATGATACAAGTAAAATGCCACTGCCACATTGCAAGTCCTTCTTAAAGGCTTTACTTTAAACAAGGTTTCTGATCTGATTTCAGTTCTGATATTAAAGGGTTAGTTCACCCAAAAATGAAAATTCTGTCATTATGAACGTGAGCATTACGTTGGTTTCTGGCTCGTTATTAAAGATAGCTAACGCAACAGTCTCCAAGCTTAAGGTATCCCGGACACCAATATTTTAATGATTCAGAAAAGATGAATCACTGTCTGGCCAGCAGAGATTTCCATATGGAGATAAAGGTTTGAATCATGACATTTTGGTAGCATTACAGCACATTGTGAGTGTATATTACCACCTTATGTTGTGACTGTGATGTGTGACGTCAGCCAAGTGAATTGGGGGGGGAAGTAGAATAGATATTATCATTGGTAAACACTAAAAAAAACAATGATACAAGTAAAATGCCACTGCCACATTGCAAGTCCTTCTTAAAAGCTTTACTTTAAACAAGGTTTCTGATCTGATTTCAGTCTGATATTAAAGGGTTAGTTCACCCAAAAATGAAAATTCTGTCATTAATTACTCACATGAATTACTACATTACTGTCGTTCCAAACCTGACGGGATGAGGAGGAGAAAAATTGGTGAATAAAATCGTTACTTTTGTTTGTTTTTTTTGCGCACAAAAAGTATTCTCGTCGCTTCGTAAAATTACAGTTGAACCCCTGATGTCACATGGACTATTTTACCGATGTCCTTACTACGTTTCTTGACCTGGGAACATTGCAGTTGCATTGCTGTCTATGGAGGGTCAGAGAGCTCTCGGAATTCAACAAAAATATCTTAATTAGTGTTCCGAAGATGAACGAAGGTCTTACGGATTTGGAACGACATGAGAGTAAGTAGTTAAAGACAGAATTTTTATTTTTGGGTGAACTGCCCCTTTAACAGATTAACAGGCAGTTAAAAACTACATTGGCAAACCAGCAAAGTTCATTTCACATACAAAAAGGATACACTCTAAGAAAAATATGGTCCAGTGTAATGTGTTAATGTTAAGAATTTTCTGTATTGATTTTTCACAGGTGATTTAAATTACGCATTGCACTGTTGTGTTTAAGGGCTGAAGGAAATGTCTGTAAACTTAACTGAAAAAAGTCAATACCCATTTTTCTATAGATTTTTTTCATACAGTGCACCTGGATAGCAAAACACACCGTTTAATTCCAACAGTCAGAACTGAACTCTGAATAATCACTGACTTCTGAACGTCCATTACTGTGTGAGTCAGAGAGATGAGGTGAATGGAGCTTATATATGAGTATATGTGAGGTATGGATCGTGAAAAAATCAAAGGTCATTTATGATGGGGTAATTGGGAACAGGTCTTCGTGTTATACCTGGGCTAACTGTGAGCGAAGCCTCTTGGCTGAAGCGCATGCGGGCAGAGTTGAAGGCCACGCAACGGTACAAGCCTTCGTCTTCTTTAGTGACCCCTAAAATCTGCAGCACCCCATTAGGAAGAGATATGTACCTGCGTGAGAGAGAAAGAGATTAGTATTAGCATTTCTAAATCACCCGAAAACATCAATATGTGTGCATTTATTTGCTGTTCTTCTAAACTGAAGCTACTTTTAAGCCTTAGGAGGCTAGCAGTCTGCTATACATTCTGGCGCGAAGCGCTATACAACAACCCGTGGCAACAGTGTTAAGTAGCCCAATTTCGCGGGAAAACAGCGGACTTGGCAACACTGCTTATGAACCGACAGCACTATAGCGTTTTCTTGGTTACCGCTGTAAACAAAGCAGAACTGCGCTTTGTAAGGAGAAGAAAATGCCATTGCCATCGAAACTTTTCTCAAGACAGTTCCCTTCAGTGATACATTAATATAACCCCATAAATGTAATGCATTTTTGTACTTATTTTACTGTTTTTTTCGGGATCTACTGGGACAGTGATAAAGATCTACCAGTCGATCGCGATCGACGGGTTGGCGACCACTGGCTTAGAACAACATATAAAGAGGCACTATACACAAACACGAACCATACTGCAGAAATAACATAGCGGGGGAGTGAAAAATAGCAGAGAAAAGAGTCTAGTCTACAGATGTAGGAGAACAAACCAATATGGCAGCTTGTATCTTCAAAAGTCAATTCCTCTCTTTCACTTGCTCTTTCTCTCTCTGTTTGTGGTGGCGAGGTTAGATTTCACTAATATTCATTCCATAGTCATCTATCTCCCCAGAGACCGCTTTCAAATCCCCTTTTCATTCAGGACCGATACTATACACCATTAATCTTGTAGACTCATCCCCAAGAGCTAGACACTCTGGCAGAAAGGCCACAAAGACCAAGGTTGGGTGAATTCGTCCACCTATGAGTGCGAACGGGTTGAAATCGGGTGCGTGTGACTCGCTATTGTAAAATTCATTGGTGCTGAGAGAGTTCAGCTGAGGACACGTCCACACCAGAGCTACACCTCCAGCGGCACGGCACCGCCTCAGCTGCGCTCGGGATGTAAATGAGAGAGTGACTGCAGCAGCCGCCAGAACACAACAGCGTGTATTAATGCACGGCTAATGTGCAAGCGTGTTCTCATTAATATGGAGAGGGGCTGTGAATACAAAAGACACTTTTTACGGACACAAAATTAAGCTTCCAAAGCAGACAGGGAATAATCTCGGAGGCACGTTTTCCAACAATCTGTCTCGCTTTTTAAGTTGGATCTCATTTGTAATTCCAAACTGCTTGAGACAAAAGCACTGTAAGAGGTCAGAGACTTCATGTGAAGATGCAGTGACAAATTTCTCAAGACTACTAGAACCTCTACTACCTCTGCTGTGCATACAACCTTAATTCACAAGCTCATATCTAAAATATGAGCAGATTAAACAGATGGTAAACAGATTGGTAAGGGTAAAAACATCTGGCTAGCTGTCTGTAAAATAGTGTCGAAGAGAGTCATTCAAAATCTCCAATAGAATGTAAAAGATTATTTAATTCAAAGTTTAAATACACTACCGTTCAAAGATTTGGGCTTAGTAAGATTTTAAAAGTTGGTGAAAGAAGTCTCTAAAGCCCACCATGGCTGCATTTATTTGATCAGATTAAAAAGTAATATTGTAAAATATTATTACAATTTAAAATAATTTTTCTATTTGAATATACTTTAAAATGCAATTTATTCCTGTGATGGCAAAGCTGAATTTTCAGCAAACAATACTCCAGTCTTCAGTGTCGCAGGAATATTCACAGATCATTCTAATATGCAGATTTGGTGCTCAAGAAACATTTCTTATTATTATCAATATTAAAAACCGCAGTTCTTATTAATATTTTTGTAGAAACCATGATTTTAGGATTCACTGATGAATAGAAGGTTAAAAAATAGCATTTATTTTTAATTAAAATCTTTCGTAACGATAGTCTTTTTTTTATTACTTTTTACTTTTACTTTTGATCGATTTAACATATCATTACTGAAAAAAAAAGTATTCATTTTAAAATCAAAATTCCACTGACCCCAAACTTTGGAACAGTAGTGTACTGTAATTTTGTAGCTTTTATGAACCAGTATTTTGAATGACGCGACTACACAAACAAGCTCCACGCAAACTTTTCATACTCCGTTTTAGTTTAGAATTGAGTCTCTGCAGAACAAAAATTGTGTTTCCCAATCAGTGGGTGTTCATAAACCACTTTACCTGACTGGATAAAATCATGAAGGTCCACCCCCAGTGAGTTAGAGCAACTCGGGTAAAGCAGTTGAAAAACGTCTACAAATTGATTAGGCAACGCCCCCAGCCGACTGCAGAGATCTATATTTGGTTGAAGCAACAGCAAAGAGGCTAGTGTTTGTGGGGAGCTTGGTTCAGGTTCGGCTTGGGTCATGTCTCAATCCAGTTTCCCCTCTATCTTTGCTTTCCTGTCCATTATCCTTTGTCTCATCCAATAAAAACAAAAAGGCAATAAAAAATGTAACTCAAAACTCAATTTGATGTACATCATTGCACAGTTGCTGTCATATGCAGAGAAATATTTCTCAGTGGATTCCTCAACAGAAATTGAAGTGGATGATGAAATCTCTAAATGATGCAATCAGGAGACATTTTCATAAAATCCTCTGCATCCTTATTTGACATTTCATAATAAGCCTGCCCTTAAAAACCTGAAAAAAAGCTGTAAAGTACTACTTTTTTGTACAAAGAAAACCCTTGATGAATAACATTCATATACAAGGCAAAACAGACACAATTAATGAGTAATATAATAATATTATGTGGCTGGATATGTGGCATGTGGCAAAAGACATCAAATACAGCTTTTTCACTGGGGCTGGAGCCGGTGCTCGACCAAGAGTGGCACTCGTTCAGAACCAGCTTGCATTTCCACTGGCAGGGAGCAGAACCCTCTGCAACACCAAACTTGTGACCGGAATCACTTGTTATCTCTTGCGGAAGGAGAGCATTGATCTGTTTTGCCGACCACTGCTGAACTGACATATTTAATTGTTGTGTTAATGTTGTTAGTTTACCTAAACTCTGACGGCTTTCAAACAGCGGTCTGTAGTGGAAGCTCCCAATTGGGTTCTGGCTCCAGCACCAGCCCCGGTGGAAAAACGGTAAAAGATTGATTTTAAAAACTGCAATGCTTCCCAAGGATACCAGAATGAGATATATCACTGATCAGGTGCTTTGGAGAACATAATCATGTCCATTCTCAGTGTCTAAAAAAGTCTATGATTATATATGTGCTTTATGCTACACACCTACATCTCTCTATGTGCAAGTGTTTTATGTGCGTGCTTATGTGTATGTGAGAGCGAGGGAAAGAGATGCATGTTCTTATTATAAAACAAAAAAGACACTCTTTCTTTCAAGTTCAAGCATATGGTTATACAAGAGAGAAAAAAGGAGAATCAACAAAGAGACTGAGAATAAAAACAGTAAATACTGTACATAGAGAAATCTCACCAGCTTTCTAAAGCATGACATGTTTTGATTCTGAATTTTACAAACAGATAACAATCAGTAGCCATTTTCTTTTTACCATTTAAAATCATAAGATTTCTGTGACATGGAATAAGAACATTTGGTTTAACGACTGAAGGAAAACAATTCTTTCTAGCGAAGCTAACAAAGTTCTAGCAAATCCATAATGCATGTAAATATCTTCTGAATGTGTTATCAAACTGTGTAATCAAAGATGTAACACCATAACAAGGTGTTGTGCCAACTGGGACAGTAGAGTATACTGTCAATACTTCACAAGATTACTGTGCTGCATAGCTAGCAAGAGGTTTTCTTGACCAAAAAAAAAAAAACTTTCAGATTTCTTACAGATTCTGTAGCTGACCTTTTCAGATTGGGTGAGTGAGTTACAGAAATTTGGCAGCCTCTGCTATAGTAAGCCCTCTGTTTATCACATGACATGACACACTTTAAACCGATGACTTGGACTTCATTTGATGCAACAGTTCCCTGCCCTCTGCCTCCCTCTCTGTGATGCCCACCTCTTTGATGGGGCCCATGCCCAACACTTTGACCTCTGATGGGCCTCTTGTACATAAGAGTCATTGATTGGCTCCTGTCATGTGCAGTCTCTCCTGCTCTATATTGACAAATTGCAAAAGCTACTGTAACATACACACACTTGGAAAATGGTAAACAACTATGGAAGAAAAATAATGCCACATTTTCCAAGTGTGGCAATACCGTAACATGAATTCACTGTGTTTGGCTAGCTTGTTTCAAACAATTTGTAATTAGATAGCTTTTCAAACACACAAAATAATCAAATGAGTTGAAAATCTATAGGCATACCAAATATTTATTCAATAGATTATTTTAGTAACCATTAAGCTGAGTTGGATAAAATGATAGTCAAATGTATTAAAATGAATGACTAAAGCATATAAATGAACTTAAATGAAAATATCTAGATGAAACACATACTTTGATATTCAATTATATACATTTATTCATAGTGATATTTTGATATTAGTCTAAAAGATGCTGTAACAAATAAAAATACATTTGCTGTGAAAACAGTACCAATGTGATTTTTTTTTACCAAAAACGTAATGTGTGTAAAATGTACCATTAGTTATAATTTACTACGTCATCAGCAGAGGTTGTCAACTGAAGCAACATTATGTTCCCTTCAGGAGACACACACTACAGAACTGCACTCACAGACACTATGTCTAATGAGTTTCCACCACTAGGCACAACACAAGTATTCTCTAGACCAGGGGTGCCCAACCCTGCTCCTGGCGATCGACTGTC